GTCGGCGAGCCACAAAGCTAATCTCTGTTTACGGCATTAATATCTGGAATAGCAATTATAGTCACCCTTGTTTTCGCTATTTATAGTTTCCGAGACGATAAGGGTTCTTCGACAGGTGAACCTTTTCCTACCCCGGCCCCATTTTGTGAAAAGAGTTTTTAGATTGGATAAACTAGCAGGTATGTCGTTTAGCCATAGTCTTTGCTGTTCTTGTACCATATGTCACAAATAGTAATAGAGGTGGGGGCCGCTGGAGAGCGGGTAGCGCAGGAGAGAGGGCGTAGAAGAGTTAACGCAGCTGAGCGACCGTTTGCCATGCCAGTTGCGAAGGTTGTAGAAGGTTATTTTGTGCAGACAAGACCGGCTTCGTCAACCTGATGTCGGTAGTTTCTGTTGTTGCTGGCATACGCTGATCCAGGGATTTTGGGTTATTTGTTTGGACCTTATAAACCACCTGGAAGGCTTCGTCGAGGTCCACCCGGTCTCCGGAATCAATAATGTAGACGAGAATGGTGCTGTTTATGTTCCTGACTTCACTTTTCCGCAACTATGCCGGAAGGTGTTCCCTTATCCTTTTTAGGTAAGCGCTGACTCGTGCGACCAATATAACCTGCTCCACAGGAGAATGTAAGTAGGTAGATGTACGCATAGTTGGTCCGAGTCAGCAACATATCCTTACCCTCCCCGTGCAAGACCGAGTTGGTTGAAAATAATGCCCGGAATCTCGCTGCTGGGAAGGTTCGTGACACGACTTGGTCAGGGCGTCTTCTTGGGAGTTCACTTGCCGCAGCTCCTTGACAGGGGACTTTGAGGAATAGTGTTTTCTTTTCGAAGAGTAAGATTTACTTCTCTTACAAACATGCTTTTCACCTTTTCTCAGCCATGCCGGAAGTTATTCCCTTATTCTTTTCGCTAAGGCCCGACTCAGGTTGAATCGTCTGCCTGTGTGGCTATGGGAAAGTCGCTCTCCCTCTCTCTCTCTTTTTGCTGTGGGGGTTGACGCCTTTCTCTGCATCTGACCAAATAAACGCACGCATTGCTCCATACCAAGTACGAGCAGGCTAACCAGTGGCGGCTGAGCTGACAGCCAACCGCGCCTTCGTTTTTTAAATAAACCACCGCCTTGCCGCGGGTCTGCGTAACGGAAGAAGAAGCAGAATAGGATTGGGTCGTAAACCTTGGCGTCGTATAGAACGCTGTTGGGTGCCTATTGGGCCACGTAGACATAGAACGAGAATCGTGAAAACGAGTTTTTTTGATGTTAAATTGACGATCCACGAAATGAAGTACTGTCGTAACTAGCTCGCGTCGAAGTGAACTCCTCTAGAATCTGACGACTGCGGTTCTCAACGTCTGCGAACGCCCAATTACAGTTGCCGCATTTATGCCTTCTGGGCCGGCAGCGAATGGCAAGCATGCACGCATGAATTTTTTATCTGTCCACTTGCCTGACTGCTGTCAAACTGGCACTTGGACCGGCTGGCCCTCCTGGCTGGTCGTGTGCTCTCAATTCAAATTTATTTCCATCTCTTCTTCGTTCCTCTGTGTACAAAATATACTGTTCCTACTACCTTGGCCTCTGACTCGTTCTCTCCTTAGAAACCATTGTCTGCAGATCTCAGTTGGTAGGGTTTAACTTACTTAACCCCTACGATAGTACCAGCCCTCCTCCATCCAACACCTTCAGAAAAAAAGAAGTAAGTAGCCTTTGAGCACGGTAGACTGGTCAACAGGGGAAAAAAGTAATCCGAGCTATTCCCTCGAGTGAGTTCAAGTGCTGCGAAGTCGTCGAGCTAATCTCTGTTTACGTTCCCAATTTCTTGCTATCACAGACCTCCACCTAGGCCGTATTTTTTTTAAAATTTACAAATCAACAACAGAGGAGGGGAAACGAATTTTCATCAGGGTCTAACTTCATGCTGATTTGCCAAGCGAACGCCTAGCCCAGTGCCGTATCAATCACCCTGGAAGGGTCTAGGTACTGGTTTTAGTCGGATCACCAGAATCATCAGGCAGAACCCTGCATTGCTCTCTCAGGTAGTGGTAGCCACTGGTGAAACTAGGGCTGTATTTTGACCTGATACTCTTAAGAAGATCTCATATACTTGTTAGGAAAGGCTGCAATTGACGCATACGATGTGGTATGCTTCACAAGATGTGTTAAGCACCTTACAGATGCGATAGTACTTGAATAGACATTGCATGCTCCTAAAAGTATCCTAATTAGAAACGTTTTTAAAGCCCTACTATACCCTTTGGTCCTGACTGTATACTTTCCTCTAACCTCGTCCCGTTTTCACCTTCTTTGTGTCTCTTTTTCCCCTTCAGCCCTGTCGCCAAACAAGATGTGCCGGCCTCAAAGACGGAGCAAGACCTGCTAGCCTGGTGTCAGGAAGTGACACGCGGCTATGCCAACGTCTGCATCAATGATTTCACCACGAGCTTCCGTTCCGGCCTCGCCTTCTGTGCAATTTTGCATCACTTCGTTCCGGATGTGATGTAAGTCTCTCTGGCGCCGCCGCCG